AACTGCTTAAAAACGCCCAAGAAATTCGTTTTAATCGCGTTGCTGTACACATCATCACGATTCAGAAACTTGAGGCCCTTATCAACGTAAAACATTCCTTCATTGGGCATGACTCGGACATAAGAAGGCGTGAGTCAGCTGCTCCGGGGTTTTCAAAAGAGTGGCCAACATGCATGTGGGTCACGAAACTAGGCTAATCTTCTTCCAGCCTCAAATGTCCTCCTCCAGGTTCACCATAAGCTCCTCCTCCAGGCCTACCTAAATTCCGGCTCCTCTTTCGATCAAAGGATTTCTCTCTCTCCTACACTTTAGTAGCTCCCACGCGTGTTTAATTCTATAACTGGTCTTCCCCACGCCTCCCTAATACTATCACTGGTCTTCCCCACGCCTCCCTAATACTATCACTGGTCTTCCCCACGCCACACTAACACTCACTGGTCTTCCCCACGCCTCCCTAACACTATAACTGGTCTTCCCCACGCCTCCCTAACACTATCACTGGTCTTCCCCACGCCTCCCTAACACTATAACTGGTCTTCCCCACGCCTCCCTAACACTATAACTGGTCTTCCCCACGCCTCCCTAATACTATCACTGGTCTTCCCCATACTATCACTGGTCTTCCCCACGCCTCCCTAATACTATCACTGGTCTTTCCGCCTATCACTGGTCTTCCCCACGCCGCCCTAACACTATCACTGGTCTTCCCCACGCCACACTAACACTATCACTGGTCATCCCCACGCCTCCCTAACACTATCACTGGCCTTCCCCACGCCTCCCCAACTTCCAAATTATCAGTGAAATTCTACTTTAATTAAACACATTCGCTCAGTACGAGTTATGGGAGAAAATGAAGCTTATTAACCCATGGAAAATACTCTATATCTTAATTCTGTTTCCTATTTGGCGTCAAGTGAACGTATCTCGTCCGTGTGTACTTTGGGTGGCGTTTTCGGATGTTATTTGCCTTGTGTTGGCTTAATTTAAGCGCATTCTTACATCATCGTGCGTGAGAAATAAACACCGAATGAATCTTTGTGATAGTTCATAATTCTTAGCAAAAAAAAGCATTTACTTTTCAGCGTTGATAGGCTGTGACGAAAATTCTGGAGAACAACCGCTTTACTTTCAGACATAACCGCTTCACTGCTGTCACTGATATCAACACGTAGTTACAGTTCCCTGAAATATTCTAACTGTTTCATATTAGCTGCTAGGAAGATCATATAATCGTGACACTTTAAAAAAAATCTAAATAAAAAACCGTTTTGCAAAGACGATAATTATACTGTGAAACGAATTATTTTATATTAGTCAATTGCTTCATGCAGTTGGTTTCTCTCCCTGGCAATTTGATACACAGACAAGTATAGAAGCCTGAGGTTAAAGATTATGTTGCATTCTCGCCTGAAATTGAAGATAGCTGAACACACCTAAAAGTTTTATGCCGTAACTAATGTGAACCAGTCAGTTGTGATAACTTCTCTTCAGACGGCAAAGTTCAATGTATCGGTAGGAATTTTATAGAATCCGGCTTCAGGATAAAACCAAAGGCAGTGTGAAAGATTGTGTATAAATTTATTACCACTTTTCATAACGGAATTCCGTTCATTCTAATTCAGAATTAATTTTAATAGAAACTGACATCCACTTTTCCTGTAATCATGCGTAGCGGTTTTCTGTTGTACCACTGATTAGAAAACCTGTCGACATAAATCATGAACATAAGTTTTCGCACAGAAATCAACCACACAGACAAACACCGTCAATTCATTCGCCTTAGGCTGTCTTCCAGTGGCGGCGCCAAATGGGGCTCAATAACCTTGGTAACATAATAGCCTGAGGGAAAACTATGTAGGATTGCATAATCTGGAGAATATAATTACCCGGAAGAACACACTAACCTGTAGGTTACATATAAATAAAATCAACAAGTTACCGGGTTAAAGGTATAAACAACACATTCCACCGCTGATGTCTCCATATACACGTAGCTAGTATAAATTCTTTATTTGTTAGAAAACTTTAGGGCGCCATGGTCACCATCGTTCAAGATTGATGATTTTTTATTCAATCATTTCTATATCTACTCTCGAGACTGACATCCTGTTTTTCCTGTAGTCTTATGTACAAATTTTCCTGTTTCTACTCCCTTGTAAACAACAATGAATCGTTAATCCTTCAATCTTGACAAATTAATTTAAACATCACATGTTTGTATATACGTAAGGTCTAAAGTCAAACATTCTATTAAGTAATAACCTATATTTTGAGCTGCTGTTCGGTAGGTGGGAGGCGTCGTAGATGGCGAAGGTTTTTTTCCAGCATCAAGACCGATGGCGACACATTTTCGCACTTTTTTTTATAACACGTTCTTGCACAACTGAATTTATAGATTTCTTCCATTTGAGACCCCAAATTTGTAATCATCTAACAGTCAACCGAAAGATTCACTTATTTAGTTTTCTATTCATACTAACTAACCGGTAGCCATTTTTGACAGTAAAACAATTTGGGCCTTTTAAAAGGCAGGAGCAACCAACACCCTAGCGACCACTTTTATTCTCATCACTAAGTTAACAGTTACGCATGCATGGCCACACAGGAGACACAATAGAGGGCCTGGGGGGCGAAGAAAAATAAATAAATAAATAAATAAATAAATAAAATAATAATAATAATAATAATAATAATAATAATAATAATAATAATAATAATAATAATAATAAAGAGTATAAATAAATAAAAAAATCAATATTAAGAAACGATATATACAGTATATGTTGTGTTGACAAAGTAAAAAAACAATTGAGACCCTGCAATTGTGTGTAAATGAGGCAGAAAGTCAGATCAGCAACCTGGGACTTGGTCACAATTTTTGTGATGCCATATGGCAGCAGGGACTGCCATTAGACAACACATTATGCTTCCAATATCTTCCCAGGCATTAGTACCTCCCTGTCTGACAGCCACCTACTACCTGCCATACCTCTCAACTGTTTACAACTACAAAGGGATTCATTCGTCCTAACTTGGAGCACTGCTCTCATCTGGGGCAGCTCTTCTGTCTAGCTGTTAGATAGGGTGGAATCAAAGGCATTTCGTTTTATTAACTCTCCTCCTTTAGTCAATAATCTCTATTCCCTTTCTCTTCGTCGCAATGTTGTTTTCACACTCTCTTTTACAGGTACTTTAACGGGCAATGTTCGGTGGATTTGGCATCCTGTGTATCGCCAGCAAGGCAGTGGCTCGTAACACTCGTCTTGCCCTCGGTGCCCACCGTTTCTTCGCGGAGGTTTATCACATTAAGATAGCCCGTTATAGTAGCTCCTTCTTTCCTCACACAGCCAAACTGTGGAATGCTTTGCCTTCTGTGTTTTCATCCTCTTACAATGTCTCTCTTCAAAAAGCTGGTTTTTCGACATCTTCGTGGTGTAGATTCCTAACATACTCTTTTTTCCCCTAATTTTTTTAACCCCTAGGCCCCATTGTGGGTCGATGACCCTGTGCCCGGGTGGGCTATTCCCCATACAAAAATAGAAAGAATGAAAGATTATGTAACAGAAATACCTTAACAAAACGCTTAAAAAGGGCCTATGAAAATGCATCTAAGTACCTCGACGTACCCTGTGCTTTTCCACGTTCTTGTTACAGCACCTCCACTTCATCTCTAATTACAGTACTGTACTGTAAATAACTTTCGCCCGTCCGTAAAATATAGCGGCCAAACAATCACCCGCTGTGCACGGGATTATTAGTTTAGTAACGGTACAAGCATCACATATTATAAAGCTACCACGGCAATCAATAATTGTCTTTACTATCTTCAATAAACTAAGGTACAGCAGATTCACACAGGTCCGCGTGGAGTCTTTTCCGTAACTCAAGATGTAAGAATACACTTATAGAGTTGATTTAAGTTACAGCATAAAAATAATATCGCTCTAGACTCTAGACTAGAGCAGGGGTTCTTAACCTGGGGTCCATGGATGGGCTTCACGGGGGGCCGTGAAGGTCAGATAAAAATTTAACATTTATATTCACTATATTTTTATATTAAGTTGTTCTATTTTTGTCAATATGTACCAGATGTTATGTATGTATTTTTGGTTACTGAAGAAAACCAGTATATCTGTAGGGTGGCATGGGATGCTACTGTACACGGTCAGGTAACACAGTCGTCATCGTCGTCAGAGTGTTTACTTTATTCATACTTTGTGTATGTCATACACTGTATGAGGCAATGAGTTTTCAATAAAATAAAGTATATTCATTGCATCCAAAGTTGTGTTTATGTGCATTTTTCTAGGGAGGGGGTCCATAGTTTTCACCAGATTCTCAAAGGGGTCCGTGACTCAAAAAAAGTAAAGAAGCACTGCTCCAGAGCGTCAGAAATGTACCATGGCTAACTACATACTTTCGTTGTAGATAAAGTTACCATAATAAATAATATTTCAGCTTTTTCAATTGAATATTACTCAGAATTGTCTTTCATTTATAATAAAAGATATAAAAATGAGGCACCCATCATTTAACTAAATTAACATGCAAGAATTAAAATACTGATAATTGTGTAAGCAACTTTATTTTAATTATATTGAATATAAGGGAAATACACCCGATCTCAATGTCCCCAATAGTCAAATGGGCACACGTACCCTATGCCTTTCTCGACCCCCTACAATCCCCACAAAACTACACTGAATCACGTGCCAAGTCCGCCAGCCCAGCACCCCATACACTCCACGCCCTGCCACTGCCAGAGGTTGGCGCCGAACACGTGTTGGGTCTTGCCTTCCCTCAGTCCTTTACATTATTTGTCTCTCCTTCATTATTATTCCATATTTACAAAAGTTCATATTTTTTCACATAAATATATACAAAATCCTGTCAAAAATCGACATGAAAATTACAAATTTTGGTCTATAAGAACTTGTTATAATTTTTTTTATTGGAACGTACATGCAACTTGCCTCACGCGATCAATACAACAGTCAACACTATACTGGCACTGCTCAGTCTGCATTATTTTATACGTTATGTATTAGAGTACGAGCCACCGATGGGGAACAGATAGTGAAGACACAAAGTGAAGAACTTGAGTACATTGTAACAAAACTTTAAGATCATCACAAATCCTCATATCTCCAAAAAATGATGCTGAATCAGTTTAGTTGTCCGCGCCACTACCTTTACGATCAGTACTCCCTGAACTATATTCGTTGACATATCTACTTGTACTACATGTTAAAGTGAGCAACTCTATTAAGTGTACTATACGATAGCAAAACAAATGTGTCTTGAGGGAATATGTATAGGACGGTATGTTTGTGATGTGTCATCTTCTGGTCCACCACATTCATCGGTTGCAAAACACCTGGGAAACACCACAGCTGAGAGTCACAATGTGTAGTCAGTACTGCTCTCTAACAGCTTAATGAATTTGAGTGATAGAGAATAAATAATACTTGTTCACTGAATGTCTCGAGTTAGTTAAGATTTGTCCATCAAATTTTATGAACGACTGGTGAATGTGTTTTTAGGGTGTATAGTCTAACATTCGTCACCATTTACACATTAATCTATTTCAGTCACAACTGTACACAAAACACGATAATGAGTGTACAAGGACTCGTTGGTACAGGGGTGTCCAGACTCCATTGGCCTCCCCGTTGCATCATTAACTATAGGAATGTCCTTGAGTTCTCAACCACAAACATATTCAGAGTAAACCAGGGAGGTAGACTGACCTGTGTGAGTAGCTCTTGTCTTTCTGGTGCGAGGGTCATGGTGGTGTCGTCGATAGTGTCAGGATCTTGGGATGAGTCTGGGTCACTCCCTGAGCTCTGGCCACGGAATGACCCTCTCCAGGATTCCCAGCCGAAGAGCCGCATCTTGCTGATAAGCTGATAACCAGATAACCACTTGGTCTCTATTAAACCGGAACTAATTTGTAGATAATGGTAGTAAATCACAAAGAATTGTTTTTCTAGTTGTCATAAACATATGTACAGCCCAGATGAAAATAATTATGGTGAAATGTCATCGGCGTTGTCAGTTTCCTGTCGCTTCAGTAGGGTTGTTCCACATTATATTTTGTGCCTGGTTGTTGCATCAGTAAGCAACCCAGTACAGTATCGCTCGAATTGCCACTGTGATTCACATTCCCCTTGTGTTGGACATCTCATGTGCGTCTCAGGTGTGTGTGTACGCAAACCGCACCTCACCCTTGCCAAAGTTTCCAACAGTTGCCACAACTCAATGACGATTTCTTCATATAATTTTCTATTGATAACTTGTTAATGGTTTCTATAAGAGGGCTTGTTTTCAAGAAACTGCCATTCGCATGTTCAAGCTGCACAACTACTATTGCAACTAGAACTTGGAGAATTAAAAGGGGGAGTGACAGTCAGATGTACTAGTGTTGCTACCGACAAACGGAAACCGAGATATGTTAGACGTCGTTGCCAGACGTATTCCGGCCTCGGCGGTGTATGAAAATATTCGTAACTTTATAATTATATGACTAAATGGACAACGGATTTCGTTACAGATAACTTAAAATTACTTTAAATGGTCTTAAATTAGTAATATCACAGTAAACTGACAAACACACAATAATATGAGGCAGACTGCCTGGCGCTTCCATGTATACGATAATGGTACGGAAGGTGGTCATATTATTTACCTAGTATAGTTAGCGAGGAGTAAATGTTTACATCTATGTATTGTCTGTTTCGAGAAAATTAATCTGCTAAAATGTGACCCCTTGAAATTTGGTGAAGAGGTTTTATCGATCGTGAAATCAGTTTTCTCAGGAGAACTTTATCGAAACAATAAGGAAAATGACGCAAACATTGAATATCGCAGTGTTTTGCAGCACGACTATTTTATATTTTATGGCTCGATATAACTTACAAAACTGTCAAGATTAATTTACGTAATGCAAAATTTTCACTTGTTAGTTATAAAACTTTTAGAACATAATTTAAAAAAAATGTAGTGTTCTTTCTTTACTGCCTTGTTAACCACTTGTTGACTCGGTAAACAATTGTTCATCAGTAACTGTCTTCTCTATCCTATAGTACTTTAAACCCTAGGATCGGATCACCGGAAGAATCTCCACCCCAGCTTATTTCACCTACCGATTAACCACAGTAACGCAACCTAACCAAACCTAACTATTTTGGAGATGGGTTTAGATTTGGTTAGGTTAGGTTAGCATTAGGGTGGCTAATCTTTAGGTGAAATAAGCGGAAGTGAAGATTCTTCTGGTGATCCCATGATTATGTCTCGGACAACTTTAAGGACACGGTGTAGCGCGAACTTTAAACTTTAAGATTTGACATTAACGTGGTAGATGTCAACCACTTGATTGGTCAAGAAAACGGGAACGTCTATTTATCACGTTTCTTTATTCATCATACAGCTTTCTTCCTACACTCGCTTTTATAATTGTGTATACTACTGTATACAGTATTCTGAACGAATGCAGATTTTCAAGGCTGAATCATGCTAGCAAACAGTGCTACGACATACTCAGAACTCTGCAATTGTGCGTGACATTTTGATCCGCCCAATGTTTTGCTTATCAAATGAATGACAGTTCGTTCGAAGACGTCCACCTGTTCAGATAAGCTGTTCCTTAAGCCCACATCATGTATAACAGGGGCGCACCCAGAAATTGAGTAGGGGGGGTTTCCAAATTACTGAAAAGTCTGGTCATTTGCACTGAATCTTAGGAAATAAGAGAAATACAAACCAAGGAGTATATATACAGAGGAGGGTGAGACCAGGTCCACAATGGTCAGGTATTAGGTAATGACCCTACTAATCTTTAAATAGCACCGCAACGGTCGGTAGTCAGGTCAGAGGGTAAGGTGACCCAACCTTCTCACCTGGTTACAAATCTTTTTAATTACAAAATTGTCCAGTTTGTTCTGTTTGTTCATTTGAGGGATAACAAGCATTGCATTGACTGGGATAATGCCTCCTCAATATTACCTTGTAATTCAATTGATAGTAGGAACATCATAGAATCTAGTCTCATTAAACATACCGAAGCATTCAACATGAATTTGAGTAATGGCATGTACAAACTGGGCAATTTTGTAATTAAGAAGATTTGTAACCAGGTGAGAAGGTTGGGTCACCTTACCCTCTGACCTGACTACCGACCGTTGCGGTGCTATTTAAAGATTAGTAGGGTCATTACCTAATACCTGACCATTGTGGACCTGGTCTCACCCTCCTCTGTATATATACACCTTGTTTTGTACTTCTCTTTAGTCTGTACTCACCCCTGAAGATGTGAATTACACGAAAGCGCTTGGGAACTTCGTGTTTTCTTCTTTCCTTGTGGTTATCAGCATATATATATATATATATATATATATATATATATATATATATATATATATATATATATATATATATATATATATATATATAACCACGTGCCTTGCCATTTCTGAAGTTTGTCTGCAGCCATTGCAATCTCATTTTGGTCTTGGCCAAATAACGTTGGAAGTCATGATATTTCTTGAAATCTTAATGGTATCGTCGTTAAGACAGTTTGATTCGTCTTACAAACTTAAATCACCCCTTATCCGTTCATAGTATAATGGTGTATAAACTACTAATTGTAGGTAGTAGGCAGCTATCAAACAGGGAGGTACTGCCGCCTGGGAAGATATATTGGAAGCATAATGTGTTGTCTATTGGCAGACTCTGCTGCCATATGGCATCACAAAAATTGTGACCAAGTCCCAGGTTGCTGAACTGACTTTCTGCCCCTTTTACACAATTGCAGGGTCTCAATTGTTTCTCTTACTACTGACAACGCAACATACAGGGTACATACTGTATAATATCATTTCTCACTCTTGATTTTTTTTTATTTATGGTTATTATTATTATTATTATTATTATTGTTATTATTATTATTATTAGTTATTATCATTATTTTTTATGAATTATTATTATTATTATTATTATTATTATTATTATTATATTTTCGCTTCAGCCTCTGATGTGGATTCGCATTTACATTAGTGACCAACAAATGAAAGTTATATTAGAACTTTCTGGTTGTACTGATGTGCCACTCCGGTACTGCGACAGTGGCACGGCCTCAACATTCCCCGATACAAAACTTTATCAAAGGTTTCTGTGTAAGTCAGTGACATCTATTAACCATTTAATGTGCCAGTCTATGGTGCGCTCATCCACATCACTTGTCTCTTTCTAAACACCAGCTGGACTAACACTATTTCGTCGTGAGGCTAGCTGTACCCTTCATGTTAACGTTAAATAAAGTTATAGGGAAGAATTCGACGTTGTTATACGAAAATCTAAATCGCCTTTGGAGATGTCATTAGGTAATATAGGTGAAATTAAAGAGACTATAGGTTCGAATGATCTATATATGAGTTCAACAGATTTTAGGTGTTACTACTCAGTCAAGGAACTAAGAACAGCTTGGCCACTGGGAGAGATTAACCTACCCTGTACTGTAAGAAACATGTTTGTTATTTCCATATTTTATCAGATAAGAATGAGTGTATAACGTATGTAACCACAATTAGATTTGACATTTATGTTAGATTATCCCATAGTAAGTAATAAATATGAATGTCAAGTGTAAATATGGACATAAACGAGTAATTGGTGTCAACGACCTTTCCAATTGTGTCTGACTAATGGTGTTTTCTTAGTTTAATTTTATATGGGTTTTATGATACCTCCAGTAAAATGTTTCCCTTGCCGTTTTTATCAGTACATTTGCTTTTAATTTTGATAAAGGTTGAGGTCTATACATTATTACTAGAAATTTGTTAACGGTATATCCCTTAATTCATTTATACTAGATCACCGACTTATTTTCAAGAACTTTCAAGAATATGGGATTGTCTTGGAGGATTTATTGATGAATTTACCTTCGACGATTTTAATCAATATGTAGGAACAGTTAAGAGAGGCTGTAGGCAAGTTACCGTCTTTTGTCTGGAATGATCTATCAAACATGAAGCTAAAGTTTTGTGTGGTAATATTTAAGGACAGTCTCCTAGGTTATCCAGCCACCTAGTGCTTTACCTAATTAGGGTTTTGGTATTATTTTAGTTTCGGTTATCCGGGGAATCAGTTAGGTTACATTTGGTTAGGTTAGGTTAATTTGGATTTCTAAATACAGGGATGACTGGAACTAAAATTTTACCAAGTTTTTATCCTTGGCTTGTCTTCTCGTAAAGAATACTCTGTTCTTGGTGCCTGCCACTGACCTCTGTTTATCTGAGCATGAGGATACGTCGTTATTGTTGTCAGAACATTTTGTAGACTTTAATAATAATGCTTGGTAAAATTTGACGAGCAATCCAGCCTTGGTATTACCGTATTATTGTTTCGGTCATCCGATCCGGGGAATCTTAGGAATTTAGGTTAGGTTAGGTTAGTTATAGTTCCTGGGTTCTGTGGTTAGGTTAGGCAAGATGGAAGTCATTCAAAACACGTTGGAAAAACATAGTGATGACTGAAACGATAATTTTATCTCGGCCTTAGCGCCTACTAGAGAAAATTTTCTCCGTAGAAGTTAAAAGCTTTCTTGCCTCAAGAAAGTGAAAAAAAATGCAGAAGGAATATGTTTAGTGCAGTTTCACTTACAAATTTTTTTTTCTGGAGGAGTTGCTTTGCTTTATGAGACTCAGTGGTTCTTTAGTTTTTTGGGGTAGTACATGTACATTCTGTTACAAAAACCTTTATTCTTGAGGAAAGAAATAAGTTTTCTGCAAAGAATTTTTGTAAATGGCTGGGTAACCTGGACTATTCCCCTATAGCAATACAGTACTGTATATGTCTGTGTATGTAGAGTAAAGGACAGTACTGTAAATAGTATTGCAAGACTTCAAGATTTGTTACTTTTTTTTTCGACAAATCCCTAATATGTTATATGCACGGTATAATGTATTCTTCATTTCCTATATTTATATTTTGTAGTATTTTACAGATAGTACTGTAGTTTCACAATAGATATGGCAGATAGAGAACCAAAAATTCAGAGTTATGGAGTGAGGCTCAATCCTGTACCTGCTAACCATTCAGAAAAAGGGGAAAATTCACTCATACAATTTTACGTAACCGGAGATGGAAGTTTCTGGATTCGAGTCAACTGTCCTCAGTGTAAGTATATTTTAAATCATATTTTTCAGATACCAAACATAGTACTGTATCATTATGCCAGGAAGAGGACGAGATGTGGGTACAAATCAAGGAGAAACTCTTCGCAGACCAGGCCAGACCAGTAAGTTATGAAATAAAAATTTTGCATGAATACATGGCCACTTTCTGTGATGGAAGTACAGATATCTGCCTTTTTCAAAATGTTTCATGTGCTATTTGCATGTCTACTGTGTTGGTGTATTATTAATTTTCTCAAACTCCAGTAATTTTTATTTATTTTTCACAATTAAGAGGCCAAAATGCAATAAGGTGGCAGTTGCTTGACCTTGATTATTCTGCTGTCAGCAGCTGATTTTGGTTGCCTTTGACAGACGGGGGAGAAAAATACAATTCCTGCAGTGCTTCCCCATGGCATTCCACAGTAACTGGGCACACTATGAACCCAGACTGTTAAAGATGTTTGAGGAGTGAGAGTTAAAGTGGTGAGGTGTGCTGACCCACTGGTATGAGGGTTTGCCCTTTTGCCTTCCAGTCATTGATTAAATGGTTAGGGGAGAAACAAAAACATGATCAGTACTGGTCCAACAACCCTACCTGATGAAAACTACTGTATACCAGTGTCAGTTCAAAGGTCTCCCCAGAATTCTGTGATATAAAGATGGATTAGATATGAGGTAGTGAGTTGGAGCGCTATATCAACCTTGTATGTTCTTTTGCCTTTTTCTACAGAGAAGACTGGAAAAAATGAAAATTAGACTGTTATGTACAGTACTCTTTTATATTTTGTCAAATGTATTCATGTTTTTATGTTCTTTCAGCAATAGATTTAGCAAACCTGCTTTTGCATATACAATAAATTGATATGTTCTCTTTACATAGACGAGGTTAACCCATGCTAGTTTATGGCCGTAAAATGTTGGTGATAATAATGATGCATTAAATTAACCTACCTTTTTTGTTGGCTCTGTATGTTTGTGCTTTGTTGAATATATAATCTAAGAAACATGTCTAAGCATCTTGGCATTTATATTTCTTAATCCTTAAGTGAATTGAATTGAAACAGTTTATTTAGCCAGAAAAACAAAGATACAGAGTGGATAATAATAACAATATTTACATGGCTGAGCCAGTTGAGAACCTGAGCTCTTTTTTTAGCACCTGATATGTACTGTACATTGGTCCCTCGGTTAACGAACACAATTCATTCCAGAAGGTCGTTCGTTAACTGAAACCATTGTTGTAATGGGATTTTGAGTATTTGGTTTCAGCTCACCAAAAATTACATACAAAGTAAAAATAAATGCAGTAAAGTACACTTACTTTGAGGTGTGTATGTAGAAGGCTCCTGGTTGATGATGATGATGATGGGAATTAGAAGTGGGGGTGGAGGAGAAGGGAGAAGAGAAGGAAGTGGGGGTGGAAGAGAAATCACCCCATGCTTCATGCCATCATTTCACCCATAAAATTTTAAGTTCACTAGGTGTAATTCAAGATTATTTTCTCTAAATCAACACTGCACTGCACTATATATTGTCAATATGTAAAATAAATTTCAGAATGACCAATAATTGTAGTGTGAAAACGTAAAAATAGTTTATGTTCAAGAGAGCCACAAGTAAGATGTAACCTCCACTGACCAGAGATACAAACTGACACCTTGCTGGGTGAGTCAAGTGGCTGATTGGCGCACCAAAAACTAGTTTCCTGTACTGCAATTATGTTAAATAAGTGTTAAAATGACTAAAAAAATTAATATAAAACTTGGAAAATTATTGAATAGTACAACCTTCTTGATATTTACTCAAATGGGAACAAATTTAAGCCCTAGAACCGATTACTGTATTGGCGGACTAATATTCCAGCTGGTGAGCAAGCGAAAACATGCTGACATGATTTCATAAAAATTTCGTTAACCGAATTGAAGATTCTTGTGGAAGGTAATTCATTAACCGAAATTTTGTTAACCGAGGCGTTCGTTAACTGAGGGATCACTGTACAGTACAGTATATTTATCTCAAGGAAGTACTGTATTAATGTAACATTTAGCATCATTTGGAATAGTACAATAGCATGGTGGTAATAAGAACATCTCATAATGTAACCACGGTTATCACTTCAATATTTTTTTATTTACTTATTATTATTTTTTTTTTTTATTACAAGTACAGTATAGTCTTCATTTACGCGGTCAGTTAAACCCGTGGAGGTCCGCTTAAAATGAGAAACGTGTAAACGAAATAACAACGTATGGGATTAATTGAAATAGAGACTGGGCCGATCCCCAGACTACCCTTTTTCCGACACAATACGTACCTTGTAGTAAAAATAGCATCTTAATTTTATGATGGTATGGAAACACACATAATATAGAAGAGAAATATCAATAAGAGAATAATATACTGTACAGGTAAAAGTAAAATCAAGGTTTAACACTTACGTTAGTAGAAGAGATGGCTGGGCACACGGGGGTGGGGGCTGGTTCCGAGGCAGAGGGCAGATTAGTGGCCCTCAGGTGAATCACTTGTATCACTATCCACCACAGAGGTCAGGGCCTCCCTGACAAACCCCTCAAAGTCACCATCACTGTCACTATCATTGACTTGGGCTGGCTGTGGTTGTGGTGGGTTGCGGGTGAAGAACTCGGTGATGTTAAGCTGACGGCTAGCGTTGATGTGGTCGTGATACATCTGTACATACGGCTCCATAGTTTGCAACAGATGGTTATTGGAGACTTCATATCGGTGATTGACTGGGTCTTTGGAAAGGATGAGCTTGAGTCTCGGCATACTCGATTGCTTCCTTTACATCACCATGAGTTAACTTCTGTTCTTCTTGTTCTGCCGTACTACCTGCCTCCTCACTGACGTCATCATCTTCCAACATCTCGTCAGCAGTCACCTCAGGTTGCCTGATTCCTCCAGGATGTTGTTCTTGGTGGTCTCGGAGAAGCCTGCAGCTCTAACACTCTGAGCAGCCTCTCTTGCAAGGTCCACTGCCACTGCAACAGACTGAGCCTCTCCAGCCACAGGTTGCCTCTGCCTCCCACCTGGGATACCTTACAGCACATGTCGCCACGCGTGACGAATCGCTGCCACAGACAGCTGCCCCCATGCCTCCACCAAGAAATCAACAGCTTTCTTGACGTTACACATCTTCCAAAACTGTTTTACTCGCACTTCATGCTCCGCCAACTCTTCTTCTGGATCCTCGCTCTCGCTATCGGTGCCACTCAGAAGGTTCCGCAACTCATCCTTGGTGTTGGTGATGTCGTTCAGGAACTTAAACGTCTTTGCGGAGAAAGCAGCCTTCATGCTACATATCAACTCCTGGTCCATGGGCTGGATTAACGACATAGCGTTGGGAGGAAGGAAGACCGCTTTTACACTGGGGTGACGATCCAACAGTAGGGGCGAGTGTCCTGGTGCATTGTCAAGGAGCAACAAAGTGTTAAATGGAACTTTATGTCGTCAAACCTGGAGAGGGACAGACCAGTGAACATCCACACCTTACATGCGGTTAGCTAGTGGACATTTAGCTTGATCATGTCCATGTTTTTGTAGGCGTGCGGCTTGCGGGCTGTGTGTATCACAGACAACTTGAACTTACAGGTGCCGGAGGCATTGGTGGTGAACAGGACGGTGATGCACCCCGTCTGCAACTTCTGGCCCCGACACTTGCTGGCAGACTCGACAACGAAGGTCTTGGAAGGTAATTTCTTCCAAAACAGACCGGATATATCCATGTTGAACACCTGGTCGTCGGTGTACTGTACTGTCCTTCTTCCATAGTTTCTCGAAAGAATGGAGGAAAATCCATGGCGGCAACATGATTAGCACTAGCTCCTTCACCAACAATGTTAATGTTCGTGATCTTGTTACGACGTTTAAACCCTTGCAGCCACCCAGCGGAAGCAGTGAAGGGTTTGGGCTCTGCAATTCCCATCTTTCGCGCCACTGATTGGTAGAGTTCTCTCGCGTAGTCCTGCACTGCCCGCGTGTCGACCGCCATGTTCTTCTTGCCTGACGAATCAAGTAGCTAACCAATAAATTCTTAGTTTTGAGCAGCATATTCTGACAATACTTCACCATTGAAGCACCTGCAGACTTTGTGATGGTCACGTGTTCTTTTATCTTGGCGGCATCCTTCTTGATTGTACGAATCATAGATTCGTTAACTCCATGCTGGCGCGCGAGATCAACTTGTCGGATTCCCTTTTCTAATTCCTGAACAAATTTGTATTTTACTTCGTAACTTAGGGCGCGTCTTATCTTCTTGGGCTTGGGGCGGCTTGGTCCAGGTAATTTAAGGTTTTTCTGGGGTGGTGGGGGTCCAGCGGAAGCCATTGTTGAACAGATTAGCGGGCACAAGAGAGAACAGTATACACGGAGACCGAGGACAATGAGACTGGCCAAGTTAGGTCAGCGACTTCTTCCCTCCGGTGGCTGGGCACGTCATATTACATTAGACCAATTACAGCTAGCGGCGGAGGGAGGTAAGGATGCGTGACCCAATCACAGTCCATTACGTCATATGATGTCAGCGATAATGCAACAGCGACATACTGCGCACCCTCCCTACGCCGCTTCCCGTGTTGGTCAAGAATGTACTGCGTAACTAATAATTGGCGCGTCTCGACCTCTCACGCCGCTCACCGCGTAAATGATGGAATGAACCATGTAAATAAAAATTGTTGGTCTGGCAAGGTGCCGTGTAAATGACCAAACGCGTAAACAAAATCCGCGTAAATCAAGACTATACTGTATCTGTGTATACATAAATTACAGTGGAATTGAAAAACATAAATATAATGGGGAAGCAGTACAACACGGGTATTAAGGTTAAACAAGAGGACAAAGCTGTCAGGATTATGTCTAGTTGGCATATACAGTATATATTTTTTGCAATGGTAATTTCTTATCTATTTACATAATGTTTTCAGATAAAACAGTTTTGATGGTACAATGAAAGCAGGTACAGTAAATATAGTAGGTATTACAAGAAATATTAATACTTAGACAATAGATATTTTTTAAGAGATGATTTAAAGGAAGGGAGCGTAGTCTTCGCTCGGATGGGTGGGGGTAAGTTGTTCCACACCTTCACACCATGATTTTTTATGGAGGTCTGGGACTGAGACGAGCGCATGGGGGGTGGTCTTAGTAGCTCTGGGTGCCTTAAGTTGTATCTCTGATTATTCCGGAACTGGAATAATTATTGTCAAGCAAGTGATTGATAGATTTGTAAACAAAGAGGGCACAGCAGTAGGTGCTATTATCTTCGAATTTTAACATTTTCAATTTAGCAAATTTTTTGTAGGTCATTGTCCCTATATCTCACCCCATATATGCAGTAATTAAACAAGGAACATGAACTGTCCACTGATGGCCAGCATTTAAGGGTTAAGAAATTTAAATTTCATTTCATTCAAATCTACTGTAAGCCCTGTACAGACAATATTGGATAGAGAGAAGGAGGCTTGATGGATGGAGCACTGTCTTGGGATGGGTATGTGTAGAAAATGGATAAAAACAGATTGACAAAGAGTGTTCATGAGTGAGATAACAAGGGAGGAGGGTTGAGGAAGGCTCAGAATGAAGCTCAGGGGCAAAATTTGTGAGAATTCTTTCAGGAATGTAACCCTCTCATAAATTGGGGTCTGCTTTCATGACAGAATTGTGTATAGTCCCTATTACAAAGTACATGTACAGGTCTGCTACTGAACTTTAACCAGGGATGTGATTTCTCAGGGTTTTTCCCAGTTTTCCAATTTTTTTTCCATTGTTTCAGGCGACCCATGTGAATCGTGTAGATCCATTGAGAAATTTTGTGGGGGGGGGACAAGAGAAATGTTTGACAATAAATAACAATAATTGACCATTTAGGGTCAATTGGTCAGTTTACTGACTGCTGCGCGGACGACGAGCCAGTATACTTCGTACAGTCTCTCCTCGACTTACGACATATTCGAATTGCGACAACCCGGACATACGACGGCCATGGTCGTATAAAATATTTTTCACATTACGTATTTTCGAGTCCCGGCGTTAGTGATCGCGCTGTGGACTGACCAAATTTTCCTTTGTAATTCCCTTTAAAATGGCTGGCAAGCGTAAAAGTGAGAGTTCTCGTGGTGCTGAGAAGAAAAAGAGACACCCATTTTAGAATTCATGTGTATTATTTTTGACTTTTTGATTTATGACCAATTCAACTTACGACCTGGTCGTCTGGACGGAACCCCTTCTTAAGTCGAGGAGAGACTGTATAGTGACCGCACTCTACATGTTCATGCATTACATCATATATGCTATTTCTCATTGGCTGAGTATTACTTGTTTTGTATTCCATTCTTCGATTCTTTAGTATTTCATTGACCAAAGATCAATGGCGTCATACAATGCCACTATTAGAAGCATTATAATATGCCTCTCCACCCTATCCACTTCATCCACCTTCCCCCTCTGCCACTGGTGAGGGAGGGGCTAAGCATTTATCAATATAACTAAGTTTCTATAATCATTTTACTCTTTCTGATGATCACAATTTATTCTGTAACCTATGCTGTATTTCACAGCTGTATAGGCAACTCGGTAGGGCGTGTTTGTGTCCCGCAGGAGGTCAGGGCTTTGGGGCATGTATGTTTGTTCCCAGGGGGTCAGGGCTTTAGGGCATGTGTATCCCCCAGGAGGTCAGGGCTGTATGGCATGTGTGTCCCCCAGGAGGTCAGGGCTGTATGGCATGTGTGTACTCCAGAAGGTCAGGGCTGTATGGCATGTGTGTCCCCCAGGAGGTCAGGGCTGTAGGGCATGTGTGTGCCCCAGGAGGTCAGGGTTGTAGGGCATGTGTGTGTCCCCCATGAGGTCAGGGCTGTAACGCATGTGTGTCCTCAAGGAGGGGGACCCTATGATGTGTAGGAACATAAAACTCTCCAAATTAGAGGAAATTAAAAAAAAAAAAAAAACTAAACAATCAAAGAAAACAGAGTGTGAGGAAATGACTCAAAAATCAAGGCAGAGCAGAGAGGCCTTCCAGCAACAAAAATAGAAACATTTACTCTCCCTGAAAAAACTAACTGATGCAATTAAAACTAAGAATAAAACAAAACCAAATGAGTGAATATTACATGGGAAAGAAATCTAAATATTTTGTTTGTATAAACTGTATCATGGAACAAGCTTATTTTTCTTATTTAAGTACTACATATGCTGTTGAAACCCCAGTTGCTGCTGCATTAGAGATATATCCCTTCAGTAAATATTAAATTTTGAAATCTCACATAATAGTGCAAATAAAAGCTTACCTTTTAGTTTATCTTCTCTCAGTGATGGTGTACAATTAAAAATATTAAACAAATTCAACTTTAGTAACAACTAAAATTCTTAAAGGAATTATTAAGACTACATGCATGAAAAATATTGTTGAAATAAACATGCAGGAGGTCCCTGACTTACGAATGCCTGCCGATACAAATGGCGTTAACCCTTAAGCCATGGGTTAGGGTACTGCTGGCAGTAACAACCCCCTTGCGTGCGCAGACAAATTGAGAAAAATCGACCTTTCAAAAATAAAAACAGTGGCGGGAATAGGCGGACGTTCTGGAACATCACCCGGGATGCATTGGTCTGACGTTCTGGAACGTCACCCGGGGCCTAAGGTTTAAACTTGAAATTTGCAGTACAGTATTTTATTTACCTGATGGCTTTTTTTCCTTTCATTTACTATACTGTATTTTGTCATTCGATTTCTTTTGTCTTAAATTAAATGATTTTAGATGATTAATAAGGACTTAGGCTATGATATAGTGGGATTGTAATAATTTTTTTGTAAGTACGGTATGCACATAGCATGTGTTCCGACTTACGTACAAATCCAACTTATGAACGTCCTCAAGAACGGAGCTCGTTCGTAACCCGGGGACCCCAGTACATGTTTGATTTTGGGTACTGTGTATTTTAACTATTAGGCACTCACGAAATGAGTAACAATGCGAGAAATTAAGTTAAATATGGTAAAAACTTCCCGGGTAGGTGTTTCCCCAGACCCCTCAACTCAAATTTATTTATATGTACTGAATATATATATTTTTTTTTCCCAAGACCCAATCACATCCCTGTTTAACAATTTTGGTATCCCGTGACAAGATGTACAGTAAGTAAATGGCATGTGATTGAACAGTTATTGCATTTTTGTGTACCATTCATGAGATTGTATTTTTCTCCATTTATCTCTGTGAATTGTGAATGGTCAATACATAATTAATCAGTGCATAGACTGGCTTCTGTCTAATTTACCATTCGGCTATCCATTCATGTCATATCCACCCACCTTCTGTGTCATCTCGTTCAACACCACTCAGCTGGCATTTCACCTCATATTTCCACTTTTATCACCACTCCATCCACAGTTTTTGTCCTGATCTTTACCTTTGTATAATGTCCCCAACTCTTATTACTGTACTGTACTGCTTTGGTGTGGCCTTTGCTTCTGCTTGTGGTGTCATGGCAGTTATTAGAATTTGATCTTGAATTAATGCCCTGATTCACATCTTAGACCACCCTGAAATTTTTAACAACACTTGGTATAGTTGTTAATATATTTTTAAATTTTAAGAAGCTGTTTTTTGTTGTTGTTGAAGGAGATATATTTTCATGATTATTCTTAGCAGATGGAGGTGACGCAGGTGAAACAAACACACCGAATAAGTTAAAAGACTTGTTGTATCGTATCTTGGACATAAAGTCCCCGGATGATCTCCAAGTGCAAGAAGTGGCCTCTGAGGTGAAGGCAACAGTTACTGAAGAGGAAGACTTAAAGTGAGTTTTTACTTCAGAGTTATTTATATGTGTATTTCATTTACATTGAAGCCTCCATATGATGGACTCCTCTCTCCATATAATCTGTTAAATGAGGGTTTCACACTTTATGGAAACTTGATATAGGGTAATGGACTTCCATCTCCATATTAGTTCCTTAGATGGAGATTTCACATCTAACAGACCTTCAATATAATGGACTTTCCTGTCCATATAGTCTGTTAAATAGAGGTTTCACTGTATTTCTTTTACAGTAATAATTATTATTATTATTATTACAGAAATTAAGGCAACACTAGTTTTTATTACATTTTTATCTCAGGGAATATCTCAGTCCAGGTACAGTATCTGATATTTTCAGGTGGTTTGTAGAGGAGCTATGCACCCATGCATATAAAGACCGTGTATTTACCCCCGTTGCTGCTAAGCTGTTTGGCCTAATTGCTCAGCATCATGCTGGTGACATTAAGATACGGGATTTGTTGATGAGACGAGTGCAGGATGAATATGATAGTAAGTACTGTACTGAATGTCAAAATATGTACATACAGTGAAACATCCACATAGTGGACTTCTCTCTCAATATGAGCCATTATATTGGGGTTTCATATCTAACGGGTCCTCGATATACAGTGAACCCTCACTTTACGCGGTCAATTGAACCCACGGCGGCCCGCGTAAAGTGAACAACATAACATTTGGGATTAATTGAAATAGAGACAGGCCGACCCCCAAACTCCACTTTTTCAGACACAATACCTACGTTGCAGTAAAAATAACTTCTTAATTTTATGATGGTATGCACAGACAATTAATAATTAAGAGAAATATTAATAATATTAGGTTTTTTAACACTTACATTAGTAGAAAAGATGGCTGGGCACACGGGAATGGGGGGTTGGTTCCGAGGCAGAGGGCAGATTATTGGCCCTCACCTGTATCACTTGTATCACTATCCACCACAGAGGCTTGCAGGGCCTCTTTGTCAAACCCCTCAAAGTCCATATAAGTCCATATCCTCACTATCATTATCACTATCACTGACTTGGGGCGGCTGTGGTGGGTGGCGGGTGAAGAACTCGATAATGTTTTGATGACTGGGCGACCTTGTGCGCACCCTGCTCGCGCCACTCTCCGCGTAAAAGGGTACACACACCGCGGAAAGTGAGCATTCCGTGTTCGGCAGGGTACCGCGTAAACGTGGAAACGCGTAAAGTGGGACCACGGAAAGCGAGGGTTGACTGTAACAGACTTTCATCTCCATATATATAGTCCATTTAATAGAGGTTTCACTGTATGAAGTAAACTTTATACAGTATACATTATAGTACAGTAATAGTACAATACAGGTTGACAACCCTTCATCCGAAATTCCAAAAACCGAAATGCTCTAAAAACCGAAAGTTTTTTTTTTAGACAGGGATTATCCCACCTGGGCATAGATCACTGACCCGCATCGGGGCCTGGGGGGCGAAAATGTAATAGTACAGTAATAATAATTATAATAATTATTCATAGTAAATAAAAATTGTAATAGAAAATACACCAAAATAAAATGATAATAATAATGAAATATAATAATAAAATTTATAATAATAATAACAATAATACTGCAATAATAAAATAATAGTAATAATAATAAAGAAATACAAGAATGAAAAAAAAGATCAAAAGTGAGAAACACGACCTAGACCTATGAATTGTTATTATTATTATAATTTTTATTATATTTTTGCCACCCAGGCCCAATGTGGGTCAGTGACTTCTGCCCGGGTAGGCTTAAAAAAAAAAAAATTAACCATTCTAAAAACTGAAAAATTCCGAAATCCGAAATGCCTCTGGCCCCAAGGATTTCAGATAAGGGATTGTCAACCTGTATTCCCAAACTTTACCTTTGCTTGAATTTAAACTGAACACTTTAACAACAGTCAATATAAATTGCTTCCTTATTTCCTTCCTCTTATTTTTACATGGGGGTGGTCTACTAAATTGACCTGCTATTTAAAGTTTAAATCTATAACTACTGTATTTCTTTATCTTTTAGGCGACAGAAGAATTAAATGAAATAAAAATTCCTCATATTTAATTACATCTTTGAATTTTGTGTTGTGTTGCCTTTAATTCTTGATTAAATGTAAGCAACAAACCTAATCTTCTTTTCTGCTCATGAAGTACAGTAGACTCGCAAATTGCGTGGATTTTTCTTATGCGGTTTCAACTATATGCGGATTTCCCCGGGTTTTAGGTTACAATTTCCAATTTCAAGCTCAAATCTTTCAAAGTGGTCGCAAGCCCGCCAAACGATAGCCTGCCAAGCGTACCACCCCGCCATCCCACCTGGCTACCTCTGTCTGATGCCGAGTTGGAGGAAATAGTGAGAGCGGACGTAGAAGGCGGCGACGATGATGAAGAACAAGAAGATCCAACATGATGGGATATACACAAGATTAGTGAAGTGTTTCAGGTGGCCTAGCACTTGGAAAACTTAGTGTCTGAGTATGACCCCTCTATGGAGTGCAGCATCAACTTCTCACAAGGTCTTACAAGCCTTATGGCTCAGTCAAAGAATATGTTCCAGCAGCTTAAGAAGCAACAATGACAGCTTCCCATCACCATGTTCTTTAAAGAAACTTCAGCATGAACATCGTCAGCAGATCAGCCAATGCTCTCAGCTTCTTGCACTGACCTTGAGCTGCCCACATCCTCCCCTGCGTTATTATCTGAGTTTGACGGTCCTCCCACGGTAGCGATGGAAGGGAATGAATAATCTCAAAACAACAACACATGTCTGTCTACATATTGTCTGTGTACTATTAATGCCGTTATGCACTTGTTACAGATGTTGATATTACATTACAGTAGTGATTTATGAGTTCTAGTATATATGTACGTATATATAGTGATTTAAGGGCAATTTAGGGTATTAGGAGTGTTTCTGACTTTACGCGGTTTTTGGCGTTACGCGGGGTTCAAGCGTAAGGGGGGATTTATTTAAAAGTATTTTCTTAATAATTTATCCCACTGTTGTTACCCATTTATAAAGGGGAGTAATATTTCCTTTTTATAGGGGAATTTCTCTTTTCTAGTTTGCTTTAATTTCTTTTCTGTCTTAGTTTCTAAACTCAACTTTATTTTTTCTCTAGTTCTTGCTTTAGTACTTCCATATGTTAGCTATGTCTTAGTTATTTTACTTCTTATAGTTATTCCATAACCTCTGACCTGTGGTAGCATGGCATGAGGGTTAGGACACGTGGTTTACTGTAATTCTGGTACAGGTACCAGGTTGTGGGAAAACACGAAGGCAAATACTGTGGGAAAATGAAGCTAGATTTGTGAATACTTTCAGTAACACTTAACTACAAGGATCAACTCCCTGGCTTTACTCATCTTGTACTTTTACTTGTACACTTTCCACTTACACTTACACCATTAATGGGTGTACATTTACAAGAACACACAACATTATATTCTTACATATAACACACTTGAGCACCATTAATAATCCTTTAACAGCACCAGGACGAGTAACTTCACTCCACTACTTGTTACATTTGCCAAGAAATAAGTGGCGACCTCATACTCTTGCTGTCTCCAAACACCCAGACAATTAAGGAAATTACATACACGGATACTTGGATGAATGACACAGCCAAAACATAGTTCTACTGAGTGTTGGACTCATCCAAAACAATGCTGGGAGCTGGCCATGCGTACTTCTCATGAGAGAGCATCAGGAGGGACAGTAAACACCTGGCAGGCATCTGGGTGGTTGACTGGGGCCCATAGTAGATGGTTAGCTCCCCACGCCCATGTTCATGAAGTTACCCGATTATACTGGCTTCCATCCATCTCCCGAAACTAGTGTGGAGATCGTCCTTTTCTACACGGGCGCTTGGCCTAAAGGAATCTGTGGACGGGATTAACTCAGAAACTCGACTGCGTTGTTGACATGAATGTCAACATTTTAAAAGCTGAAGGCAAAAGAACATTTTACTTAAAACCCATCAAAGTTATGTTATTGGATCACTGGCATATTCAAACAACTACCAGTAAGTCAAAATCACATAATGTGACGAGGTGGAACATGGAATATTGGACATTACCTGTGGACGGGAGTAACTCAGACGGTAGACTGAACGAGTGAGGTCTCGTGTTCCTCTGCGAGCATTCCACCACAACTGGGCTCCCAAGCCGCAGCCCGCACAGATAATATCTACAAACTCCATTACACTACACCTTGACATGTGAACATCAGGCTACAGACTTATTTTAATTTTCTAAGATCAACTTTTTAAACTAAGCAATAACGGAGCTGTCGAAGACAAGAATTAAACTAATATCAACTAGTCAAGATGGCAATACATTGTGGGTGGGGCTTAGGACAGAGGATCTCAAATTTCATCCGTTAGATTCTCAAAGATAAAACGAGTGACACTTCCTTTCAGGATAATTAATTAATTTTGTAATTAACATCCTTATAACAATTTCACTATGAATGAAAAAAAGGTGACCAGCCTTGAACTAAGTTCGTAAGCTCACGAGAGACAATAAACTCACTACCTCGGTTGACGGGTACTCAACACAGCTCGTCTTAACCCTATGTACTCTATACCTAAAGATATATGCTGCTTACAACACATACTCAATACACTGTAGGTACCGGTATATCTGACTTATGGCTACTCATACACGTTATCTCTTAAATTTGAATTTTCTTTGTCGAGAGGTTTCAGGATGTTATAGAAAATGGACGGCACCTAGGCAAGGGAAAACACGTCTCTCTCTAGGGGTAACTCATCAGTTTCACACATGTTTCGTGGGCGTGGAGCATAATATGAATTATTAGGTGTTAAACAGACTAGCCATGCTAGCGTGACTATGACACCAGGAACGTAACCCCCGCGGAAGTTGCAAGTCTAGTGTACTAATGTAGAATTTTTTTGCTCTGTAAATAAGTAAGTAAAGGTTTGGTCCTATTTGTACTTGGGGCCAACTTGGGGATTGACTTATGTAATCAAACCTCATAGGAGCCGGAAGAGATTGTTCTCTCTATATCTCCCATTTTGTGTTTCACTATTTTCTTTAGAGCTCTCATCTTCTGTTTCCTTTTTCATTGTTTCATCTTACATGTTGTTGGTGAGGCATCCTCCTTAAATCATGGTGCTAATGTGTTGCATCATATTCTTCACTTAATAACAAAACAAACTATCGTACGTGCAGTGAATTGCTTTCCCGGTATACAGTAAATCATTATATCATACCACTCAAGGCCATGTGGTCTAACAGTTCTTCAAAATATTCTACCCATCTCCCTCTTCACCCTTTTCTTTCAGTAATATCCCCCTTTTTTATCATGTAATTTCAGAAAGGCTTGATCTACTTAACAAAGACCGCTATCGATTTGTAACTTCTGCTTTGTTCCTTGGAGAAGTGTACCATCAAGTTAAAATTGGCAAGTCTCCATTTCGTGTGAGTAAAACCTCTTGCTGTTATGATATTCTTTATGACTGTGCTGTATGATAGACATCCAAGAATTACTGAAATTGGGATGAATTATAAGTAGTTTGCCTCATCTATTTTTTAAATTTTTAGATACCAGACAAAAATATCTCCTACAAGTTTTAATTGTCGTAATCCTTGTAAAGAATTTTTTCTCAAATAATTAAACTTATAACATAAAATATTTTGGTATTTTATTTGATTGATGATCCGCTTCCACAGGTCCTCGTTGGTCCTGTCCTAAAATATCTAGATATGATTATTGAGCCACATCTCGCAGGGGACTCAAATGAAAACGTTGATGATGACATGATTGTTGTTTCAAAGCAGGTGAGTCATTTTCCTCCCTCCCTCCCTCCCTCCCTCCTCCTCCTCCTCCTCCTCCTCCTCCTCCTCCTCCTCCTCCTCCTCCTCCTCCTCCTCCTCCTCCTCCTCCTCCTCCTCCTCCTCCTCCTCCTCCTCCTCCTCCAAAAGAGGTAGCTACCGGTAATTAACATCCACAAGAATACAGATACACTGAACCCTCACTAATTCAATATTTTGGGATCATTTGATAAATATTTGTACATAATTTGATACTGTATCTGGGTTGAGGAATTAATTAGTTGTTTATAGCTGCTTATATCCTGAGATTTGCTTATACAGTAGAGCGTCGATATAACGCGAGATAGGTTCCAAGAGAGGTCGCTTTAAACCGAATTCGCACTGAATCGAAGTGTTGTTTCAATGGAATAATTTAGTTTGGTACTTGAGAGAAACACACAATACTAAAAAGACTGACAGTCTACCCAAATGCACCTCAACCCATCTCCTAGAATAAACAAAACATTGTTTTTGTAGTATTATGTTAAAATGAACACTCATAAATTAACACAACTAAAATTAAGGGATGCAAAATGGTCTGTTTACTGGTTGGGGAGATGGGGGGGGGGGGAGAGGATAGGTGATATGTTTGACAGTTGATGCCAAGGTCTAGTGCTGGCAGTACCCTAACCCGGGGCTTAAATCGAGAAAAAAAAATTAACATTTCCAAAAATAATAAAAAAAATAAAATAAAATAAAATGTCGGGAAAATAGGTGGACGTTCCCGGGGCCTAAGGGTTAAGAGTGACTACGTTTTTCTCTTATAAAATGTCACTGAACTGACATAGGAGAATATAATTAACATTGCTGGAATTCTTATACGATAGTGATTAATTTGAATATAAACATGCTATAGCTCGCATTAGACATACAAATTTTAGTTCTAATTTACGAATTTTATTACAGAGCAAAATTTTTTATCGTGCAAAATATATGACTTTTATATTCAAATTATTTGCTGTCTTGCAAGGATTCGTGCAGTACAAGTTATATTCTCCTAACTTTAGTCTGTGACATTATATAAGATAAAAACTTTAAGCCAAAAAACACCAAACCCTGGCTGGGAAGATGGGAGGGAGGGAGGGAGGGGAGGGAAGTGACAGTGACATGTTTGACAGTTGGCACCGAAGGTCTAATGATGTATTTATTTGTTTATTTATGTCCTTTAGCTTGATTTTATGTTTTTTGCTTATAAAATGTCACAGAAGTGACCAGGGAGAATATAATTTTCATTGTTGGAATTCTTATAATATAGTGATTAATTTGAATATAATCATGCTATAGTTTGCACGAGACAAAAAATTTTGTAATCATTTAGTACATTATTTTGAGTACATGTACAGTACAGCTTTCCCCTTAGGACAGTGTAGCGTGCCCAGAGAAACATTAGGGGCAAAATTTTAAATATGATGCTCCAGATTGACTCGTGCAAAATAGGAAAGATTCATTTAAATTTAAAACATTGTCCATAATTGTGGGTGTTGCTTTAAATAAATAATAATAAATTGTGTCGCTTTAAATCGACATTCTACTGTACAGGAGGCCCCCCAAGTTCGTGGATTTTTATTTCACGGTCCTCTATTATTCACGGATGACACCCTGGATGTACCCAAGAATGTCTGTAGGTACAGTAGTTTTAAAGTTGCCGGCATTTTCGCGGCTGGGACAGGAAGCCATTCGTTCTAGAGACAGTAATTTACTTGACCTGTATTGTAAATATATGTGTGTGTGTGTGTGTAGACACACACACACACACAAAACATATACTGTACAAATAAATAATAATTGAAAAATCCTCTCACAAATAATCAGAAACAAATTTATTACAAATGTGACTGTCTACCCTCAAGTCCGTGCTTTATTACTGTTTTAATAAAGCACGGACTTGAGGGTAGACTCACATTTTTAATAAATTTGATTCTGATTATTTGTGAGTATTTTCCCAATTTTATTTATTTGTGCGTGTGTGTGTGTGTGTGTCTACACACACACACACACACATCTACAATACAGGTATAAGAAATAATTGTCCTAAGGGCAAACACATAAAGGGAATATTGTATACATTTCTTTGTACACCAGTAAAAATGTAACACCACCACCACCACCTCTCTTCCCCCACACACACACACACACACACACACACAAAAGTCCACAAATATTATTCGAGGATTTGGCAATTTGTAGCCATTTTGAGAACCTAATCCCCACGAATTTGTGGGACCCCCTGTAGAGTATTTCTTATTACAGACTATTTTCTTCTTGTTGAATCTTGTATTATTGTTTCACAATTGGTCGTGGTACATATATGATCATTTTCTATAGAAGTGTTTCTACAGACAGATATCATTAGATGGGCAGTAGAGAGCACCTACTAGAATTGATTTAGTTTTGGGCAACTATTTGCAGACTAAGCTACTTAAGATGATCAACAATTTATTCAGATCTTAAGATTATAGATAAAGTAATTTCTTACATAAATCACACACACACACACACACACACACACACACACACACACACTTACTTGTCTGTTTCTGTCAAGACATTGTACTGTACATTGTAACCTTCGGGTCTGGTTTCTTCATATACCCTGTATGTGCGACAGAATCATCTAACCACAATTCTGAGGTGGAGAATGAATATTCCAGCCCTACTTTAGAAGCTAAAATTTTATTTCCAAAAGTCAGATTTCTATGTCAAAGATAGCTGATTGTTAAGATCATATTTGGGAATGGCCTTTTCTTTTTAGGTACAGTAGTGCAATATTCATTTATACAATTAGACCAGAATTAGATGTGTAATTTGAAACATATTTATAATTCAATGTTTTTATTTACAGTTATTACAGAGTGGTGTAGATCTACATGAAAGCAAGGCTGATGCAGTAGAAGCATTAGTACTAAAAGTGACGGAGGTTTTCTGCCGTTGTCAGCTGACAGCAGCAACGCGTCTGAATCTTGTAGCAGCTCTGGCTGACCTGTGGCCTCTTTTGGCCAAGGGTAATATCAGTTTACGGACACAGCATGCATCCCTGGCTGCAAAACTTGGGGTGTCTTTACATATCTAATAAGTTATCACTTTCTTCTTTCGGGCATCTATTTTTTTTATGTTAAATTATATGTGGCCATGATGGATATTTTTACTGCAATAAGACCACCCATGCTTCCAATTTACCTTCATTTGATGGAAACTGGATCACAAAGGAGGACACAAAATACCAAACCTGTATTATGTCAGACATATTGTATAGCCATGTATACAGAACAGGATATTAGAGTAGTGTGAGTATTCTTATTTTCCAAAAACCTAATTTAATTTTGACACAAAAATATGACTTTTCAAGTAAAAGAATACTGTACTATATTGAATTATTCTTTTAATATTCTATATACAGTATAACAATAGTGCACATAAGTGTGTAGTAAAATGTGGAAAATTAGTAATAAACAGTATACTGTAATACTGTATCAGGCTGCCAGCACTGTAAAATATACGAGAAGGAAAGAACCATGAGAAAAAATCCAATTTATGGAAACAATCTAAACAAAATTCTCCATTTTGTTAGATGTTTTTGTCAGTGGATTCCTCTACAATGGTTCTTCCTACGGCTGCATTGAGAATGTAGCACTGCTGAGTGGTCGTGTGACACGTTCTCACAGTCCACACCATGAAGTATATGTTTCATAACCAAAGTGCTTAGGCAAGAATGTGCATGTGCCTTTCTGTTGTGACCAGTGATAGATGAGAAAACATATACCATCTCTAGGTTATTGGTAAGAAAATAAGCATCATTCTTTAACTTTTTTTTCTCTCTCACTGATATAGCAAGTTCTTGTTTCATACTGAGAAGGTAGATGGAAGTTAGTTTCTGCTGTAAGCTTTTGTAAACCAAATGATTGATGTCTTTCATTATAGATACAGTACTCTGTCTCTACCACTCTTATTTATTTTTATTTTTTGCAAATATTTTATTGATATGTGAATGTTCCATTTTTTTATATATACAGTATATGGTATATCAGAAGTAAATATATTACCTTGATAATAATGTATCAGGCATTAATAGTCAAAATATGGTTATTCTGTACTGTACTATAGTGTAGTTTAGTACAGTGTTCTGCTGTGGTGACTTCTGTGAGCATTACTGTGAATTAGCTACACACACACACACACATACATACATACATACATATTTATATATATATATATATATATATATATATATATATATATATATATATATATATATATATATATATATATATATATATATATATATATATATATATATATATATATATATATATATTTATATTTATTACAAGCCTTTTCCTGCTTTTGATAGGAGCTGCCAAGATTGTTGTAAGAACCATTATTTTATGTTAATATTATTTTACAGTAATATTGAATGCAGTTTATTTCCTTTTTTATTCAATGAAAAATTTTAAGTTTCTGTATTCTGTATTATACTGTAGTTACTGCTTTGTCCTTCACCCTGTACTTCTATAGGACTGTACACCAATTCATATGTTCTGTATTTTAGCTATTGAAGGAACTTTTATGATTAAACATGTACTGTTCTTGAGAAGACAACATGTTGTACATCTAGTTCCATTCTCATATCTCATGACCTTTTGCATTTAAATCTCCCATTAATGTAACTTTATATCACACTGATGATTTTAATGGTTTTACTTAGATCTTCCCAAGACCTCACTTTATCCTCCCTCTTCTGAATCCCTGTTGTATAACTCTTCTATCTGCCTGCCTTTAATTTTTTGTTCTGGGTCTCAATGTCTTTTATATTGTTACACTATTCCACTTTTCATTACTCAACAACAGATCCACAACTCCTCACACTCATACACTGTCAGATGAGCCTGGCTTGACTCCCCTCACTAGCCACCAGTTCGTATCTCCCTTGCCCTTCAAATATATTTCATGCAAAGGCAGCATATGTATTCAGTTTTCTTTCATTCATCATAGTTTTTGTCATTCTCTTATTCTCTGTACTGCATCCACACATACTTCAGATGGGCTATATTGAGAGGAAAATCTGTTATATCTAGGGTCCGTTTGGTGTGAAACCTCCATCTAACGAACTATATAGAGATGAAAATCCATTATATCGAGGGTCTGTTGGGTGTGAAACCCCATCTCACAAATTATATGGAGAGAGAAGTCTGTTATATGGAGGTTTCACTATTATTATCAAACTCAGCATTTGTTTAAGTAAGCACAACTGTGGCTAAAAATTATGGTTAGGTGTTGGATATAACACAAATCTTTATGGAAAATTGGGATCAGACAGAATGTGTCGGGCTGTTAAGTAGGTTAGGTTAACTTTGTTTGGTCGCATTTTATAGATTTAATAAAGATTTTCTGCCGTCATTTAATACTGTACAGCATTGAATGATGGAGTGAAATACTGTACTCTAGTTATGAGTACAGTCGCTACTTTTGGAGTGAAATATACTTACCGTAATCGTATTTGGCTTATGAATTGCTAAAGTGGTAGGTTTTTAAAATTTGGGCAGATGTCTTCACAAAATACTTGTAATCGTGTATCTAGGTTGAGTTCTGCATATTGTTCATGTTTTATGAAATATGTGAAGTACATGTATATGTATTTGCTAAATGTAACAACTACAGTTGTTAGATTTAGCAAATACATTTATTGTAAACAATCTCTTGGTAGTTTTAAGGACAGCGAGTAATATGTTTGCATTGTGTATGATATTAATCTATATTAATCCAGATGCACTGGTACCTGAAGCATGTAGTATTTAACTTGGTGGTGCTGTTCATTTGTGTATTTGTTAGTGATATCATCAAAAATTAATTAGGTTCTGTACTTCTTTAGGACTTGTTTCTTGTATCCAAATTCCCACTTTTAACAGGCACTGTGGTGGAGTGGTTATTATACTGGGCTGGCAGCTCATTAGTCGCAAGTTCAAATCCTCATTGAGGAGGCAATGTGTGATAGCTATATGATGTTTGCCGGTACTGTACAGGGTGTCCTGGGTTACGAACGGGTGCCATTCCTGAGGACATTTTTAAGGTGGAACAAATGCTATGTGCATGTTGTACTTACAGAACAATATTTAAAATCCCACTATATCATAGCCTAAGTCCTTATATACATCTAAAATCACTTAATTTAAGAGAAAAGGAGAAATAGAATGACAAAATACAGTAAATGAAAGTATAAAGTAAGGCATCGGGTAAATAAATTACTGTAAATTTAAAGTTTAACCTCACTCGTATCAGCGGGCGTTCGTAAGTCGGGGACCCCCTGTGGTAGTAGTATAACCCAACTCATCAGACTTGCATATATCCAGACCACGGGAGGATACGTCGACCCTGTTTCAATCTACAGTACGTGTGACGTGTAACCTGGCTGAATGATGCTTTGGGTTGACTCAAATTCCCAAGTGTACTAGACAAGCTTAGCTGAGTGTACAGTAGGTCACATTGTTAAGAACACAACTAACCTCAAATATACCTCCCATAGTCCATCGTAAAGTAAACCAAGAATATATATTTTTTAAAAGTGTGTTAATGATGTGCATAGTTGTACATATCAGTATATGGAAATAATTAACAAATGTTGCATTGCTGTATTAGTATATGAATATGGAATACTGTATCTAAGTATGTGAAGGCACCACTTGCTAAGTAGATAATAGCATTTCACTTACTAGAAGATGAACTTTGAAACTTACTCTATTTAATTTTTTTCATGTTAACCATTCGTATTCTTGTTTGTCTTCCAGTTTTAATTGTGATCTCCATAATGCTCTTAATAGTCTCTTTCATGTCAATATATTTAGGTTACACAACACATCTTGCAGCTTAATTGGAGAGATTCCTTTGGTTTATCTACTCAGTATACCATATCATACAGTAGACTGATAGTGATTGGAAACTGTGTTATATAGTGTATAAATTTGGTCTGCACTTATTAGCATCAGTGACTCCAGCAGTCAACTTGCACACAAGAAAGTCTGGCAACTTTCTCTGCAAAAGAGGATGTGCAAATGACTAAGGAAGGATATAACATGGTGAATTACACTGCCCTCCTTGCTCACTCGTTTACAGGTCAGATTGGTGACCAATAAGTATTCAAATGAGACTTGCCAAGATAAAACACTGTGGCAAGATTTGATTTAGCCACCAAACCATCTTAGCTCTAGCTTTTTATCTCCTAAAGGAATCAAATCTAGAATAATTTTCATCTTATGTAACTTCAGTATGTCTAGGTTAAGGTTTTTTTTTTTTAAGTTGGAGTTATATTTTGTCAGGACTTTTAATTCCTTGCTCTAACTTGTGTTTCATGCAACCTCCCACATTCATCATTGAAGGACTGTTAGTGTTCAGAAATTTCATTGGCTAGTGCACTGTAGTCATTATACACAAAAAAGAATAAAACTTAAATTTTAGCAAAAGCACCTCAAAATGCATTTATGTTTTGTATTATAAATTATGTAAGATTCACAGCAACAGGACATTCAGGTTGTACCAGTAGTAACAGTAGTGACCATGAGAAATTTGCAGAAGGTCAACATGGTTTTATGTGGAATGGAATTGAATTGTAATGATGGAAAACCATTTATTGAGAGTGGAGGTTAATGCAGACCAGATGGTTAAGTAATGTTATTCATCGAAATATAAAATACTGTAGATGTAATTATATGTTGTTATGAACCAGAGTCTGTGTACACACCTGACACTCATTTGAGATTGGCATAGTTTAGAACTGTAGTGTAGATGGATTTTGGGGATCACCTGAAGAATCTCCACCTTAAATTATTTCACTTAAAGATTAACCACCCTATCACTGTCTTGAGGATGAGGTTAGGTTAGGTTAACATTAGGGTGGTTAATCTCTTGTAAACGAAATAAACTAGGATGGCGATTCTTCAGGTGATCCGATTTTGGTTTGTGGCTGTACTTTTTAGGTGTTTATATTTATAAAATGGAGCATACTGTATTTATATAATTGAAATAGTCTTTGAAACAGCAGAAGATAAGGCTTTAGTGAGGTGAGTTATATATCAGCCTCCATTATATTGTTTCACATACGGTAATCAGAACATTAAGAAGATTTTGCCACTTTTGTCACTTTCTTTTAGATGCGTATATTCAGATGATATGTTTAGTTTTAATCCACTGAAGCATTTAGCTCCCTCTTGCACGCTTGGAATCATGATTTTTATGCTTATTCAGCACTAGAGATCTTTAAACCATTGAGACTGTACCATATATTAAATGAGGAAGCATTACAAAGTACAGTACAAAAACATAGATAATGATAAGAACTTGTAGGAATTTAACCAGATGGAAAAATAAAAAAAAAGTTTATTAATTGTATAGAGGATGAAATAAGTTGAAGATGGTTCCTAGGCACGAGTGTTTCTGACATCAAGTTTGGTTACACTGGTTATACCTCTAAGTGGTAAAACCTTCAGATATCAGTCAATGCAGTGACATTATATTTGCATTACATTTATACTGTTGTCAAATACGCAGTGCTTAAATTTATACTTTCATGAAATTTATATTTGTCTGGTGTGTGTGTACATACAGCATATGAATACGTTTATTAAATTTGTATTATGATACTGTACATTTATGAATCGAAATTAGTGTGTTCATGAGTGTCAGACGTATTTTATATCTAATAAAATGAATTTGGCATTTATAAAGACTCAATTAGAAACAGTGATGTGATCCTGTATAAGGTTTTCTTGTGTTGTCATTAAATAAGGATTATACTTCTACAGTTACAAGTTATCCCAAGATAACACTAGTCACTTGTGTTTAGGTATTATTATTATTATAATATTACAGTAATGGGTGGCACTAGCATAAAGAAAGAAAATATAGTACAGTAATTAAAGTATGGTATACGATAATCTCATTCAAGTACAGTAGTGAAATATGTCAGTTGGTAAGAATTAATTATGGTAAACTTACATAAGCAAAGTCATTGGATGATTGGAGTTTTAGATTCACAATACTGTATACATCAGTACTTACATTATTTGTAAAAATGTTGTTATTAACTTTCTTATTATGGGTGTAGAGAGAGAGATGCTAGTACTTGTGTTATGCTGGCTTTATTAAGTACAGATGATGCAGAATGACCCCTTTTAATGAATATAAGGATGACATGAAGATTAG